AAATGATGTTTCTAATGTGATGATGACATTTTCATGGGAAACTGATTGAAGAATGTGTTCCTAGCCATACGTGGAAAATTCAAAGTGGAGTTCCACCCGTTTTACGCGGAATACTCGGTGAAAAACGCGGTGATATGCAGTAGTCGTGAAATATATTTTTCATATCACGGCCGCTCCTTATGAAACTCCATTATTGGATCTTAGATGATTTCCTTATGTTCAGGTATGGTCACTGACGTTGATGCTCGATACGAGTTACTCTCCCAGTGTGTTGATGATAGAACGGTGCAGGAGGCTGATCCCAGGAGTCCTGAGTTCAAACAGCAGGGGCGGATGCCCGAGACGATACATCGGTAGGGGTAGTGGTGGCGGAGAGTTGAAGGAAGTGTGGTATTGGTAGGTATGTGAGCACCACTGCACCTGAGGCTATGTCGGATTTGGTGGTAGAGCATAGAGAAGATCAGAAGCAACGGCTATTGGATGCTGGCATGGACGAAGTCCTCGCTGATTATTTTGCCTACATCTTCTATAGGTGAGTTTTCATGGCTGGTTATGCGAGTATTTTTGAATGAAAATGTATAACGAGTTCATTAGGAATGTAGTTGTTATATATGCACACTAGGAACGTACAATAGCAGTGTATTGTTATATATTGGAGTTCATCCGTTCTATGTTAGGTGGCGTAATACTCTGTGAAAAACGCGATTTTTTTTCGCTATGTAGTCGTGAAAAATGTTTTTCATATTACGGTCGTGAAATTCGATTGTATATTATATTGTAAACTTCTATTTAAGTGTATTAAGTATCGGATTTGTATATATGAATGTGTTGGTTTCTAAAATTGACGAGGTTCACGCTGATGATTTTGCCAACATTTTCTATCGGCGAGTTTTCATGGCTGCTCATGGCTATTTTTCCGTAGGATGTTCTTGATGAGAAAATATTCAACGTTAAGCGTATTAGGAATAAAATTATAACATTTGTGCATTAGAAACGATAGCAATGTTTGTGAGTATTGCTCCTCGTTTCACGTGAAGTAGCTCTGTGGAGAAGGCGATATTCGTGGTGATAGTCGTGAAATATGTTTTTAATATCACTAGGGTGGTGAAACTCCATTGTTGTGTTTGTATTTTCAGAGATCCGATGATTATATTTAAGGAGCGCATACATCTTGATAATGAGCACTCTATTGAGCACTTTGAAGGGATGTATTCTACCCATTGGACTATCGTAACACTACTACTACTACTGTATGTTATGAATATGCATTCCTCAGGTTCGTATCAAGCCTCCACCGGCCAATCAAGAGGACATCCACTGGAGGGTGGAGTTACGTACTCCCGATGTTCAAGTGACGGATTATGAGAATGCTGCTATTGTCACTGTGGCTGCGTTGTTGGCTAGAGCGATTGTTAGGCGGGCTGAAGGGCCTGATGGAAGTGCTGGTGGTCAGGTAATAAATCGATTAATATTGAAATATTACTCAGCGTGGTATCAGTAGAAGCTGGCTTTCATCTTGTCACGTTGCGATCATCGAATTGGTGGTATTAAGTTTAGGTTAGAAGGTTTGGATTTTGATAGCATTGTTTGATTTTGAAAATTGGAGAACTACTATGCATTGAATTGGTTGTTTATAAACATATTATTAGTGGAGTTTCGCGACTACCCGTTTTCATGAAGTGGCGTAAAACTCGGTGAAAAACGCGATATTTAGTAGTCGTGAAATATATTTTTCATATCACTAGGGTAGTGAAACTCCAATATTATTTTTTATTTGTTGTTGTATAGGTATCTGGCCTTATACCCATATCCAAGGTGCGTGAGAATATGCTGAGATCACAGCAGCGTGATGCTCTGCGGTGTGGGAAATTCTGGTGGAATCATGAAGGCAGTATAATGGAGACTTCGATGGTTGATATATGGTAGGCTTACCGAATGAAGTTGTTTTTTATTGGACTTTCGTGGTCTGTGTGGCGATAGTCGCGATATGAAGTGAATTGAAAAGGCGTTGTAAATTATTACGTATGGCGTAAAACACATGACGTGTTTTACGCGTTATTCACTGCTCACATGCGTTTTTCGCGAAGTGTGAATGTGAAAAATGTCTTGTTTTTTCATGTCACGGGTGAAACTCCATTATAGTAGTATAGCGTTTGCATATGATGACCCTTTTTTACCGAATGTAAATGATAACATTCTAATTTTTTTACTATCATGGTAATGCCTTGATTACCATCATCATTACTCAATGATTAAATAATGGAGTTTCTCGACTCGTTTTACGTGAAGTGGCGTAAAACTCGGTGAGAAACGCGATAATCGCGGTGATATGCAGTCTTTTACCGGTGTTTTTCATATCCAATGTAGTAGTGATATGTTATTCGTTATAGGTGTGCTCGTGGAGGGTTGTTGGATGTTTGTAGAAGTGAATTGAAGAAGGCTATGGGGGAGGCCGCTGAGTCGTCTCTGGATGCCGAACTTATCAATTTCATTGAGGCACGAGTTCGAGGAAAGGTGATGATGTTTTTATATCGATGCTCCTTCGGGGGGAACTCATTTGATGAATTTTCCACATGGCTAGGAATACATTGGAGTTTTATGTGAAGTGGTGTCGTAATACT